TGGAGCCCCGAACCAGCCGTGTTGATGCCCAGGTCACGGCTAAAAGGTTACTTACCGTAACAGATTGGCGCTAGAAGGAGGGCCTCCAAATGTCAGGCGACCAACGATCCCACCTCGCCGGATCTTCGACCGCTGAGCTCCCCGCTTTGGGGGAGCATCCCCTGAGCAACGAAACTTACGACGACCGCCCCGCAGCAGTATCAGAACGCTACTGGCGGCTGTTCGATGACCCAGGCTTGCCACCTGCCAACGGCGCGCCCACCGACCCATTGCCGGTAACACCCGAGGCTTTCCACGACCTCACCCACCAGGTCTGGACCCTGACAAGCATGGTCCAGACCATCATCCCGATCATCTCCCAGCGGACCCCGCCGCACGCACCACAGCAAGAGGCCCCCGCTCAGACTCACGCACAACTTCCCGAGCGCCCCGTCTCACCCCAGAACGCTGCAGCGGAAGACACGGCGAGCCGACCTGAGCCTGAGGTTCCGACCGCCGACTCGGCTAACGCCCTACGGGCTCAGCTGCGCCTTGTCAGCCAAAGGCTCGACGAGGTACAACAGGAAGTCCGCAAGTCAAAAGGAGAGCTCGGGGCGGATGGGCGCCTGGGATCCCCGTTTACCCCCGAGATACAAGGTCAGGCGATCCCGCCCCACTTCCGCCTCCCGTCTCTCAATCCATATGACGGCGCCACCGACCCGGCAGATCACGTGGCCGCTTTCCGCGCCCAGATGGCGCTGTTCGGGACTTCCGATGCCCTGATGTGCAGGGCATTCCCGACGACACTGCGAGGACCGGCCCGCACATGGTACAGCGGCCTGAAGCCCGGAACCGTCACCTCCTTCGATCAACTCGCTAAGGATTTCGAGCTCAACTTCCTGGCGAACGCCCGACCTAAGCCGTCCATGGCGCTGCTTCTCGGACTCAATCAAAAGGAGGACGAGCCCCTCTCCCATTTCGTGAGCCGATTCGCAACCCAGATCCGCGGATTGTCGGATGCTCACCCTTCTTTCTTGATGCAGGCGTTCATGACAGGCCTGCGACCGTCCCGGTTCTTCTGGTCGCTCGTGGAGCGACCCCCCGTCACAGTCCCCGAGATGCTCCAACGAGCCAGCCAGTTCGTCGCCGCGGAGACCTGGATGGCTGGAAGGCGGGAAGAACACAAAAAAGTCAAATCAGAACCGCCCCGACAGCAACAACCCGCCGTCTCCCGGCGAAAACTGGACCGACCCGACACGAGGGCCCCCCTTCCCGTCTTGAATGCATCCCGGACCGAGATATTCCTACACGAGAAGGGAAAGGGGCTGCTCAAGGACCCTCGCCCGATGAGGAACCCCCGGGAACTCGCAGACCGCTCAAGATATTGCCGGTTCCATCGACAGCACGGGCACGACACCGAGCAGTGCTATGAGCTGAAGAAGCAAATCGAGGAACTTATTCTCAGAGGACACCTTGGCCGATACCTCCGCCCAAACAAGGAACAGTCGCCTCACCCCGAGGGTCCTGTCGAGCGGCACATCGATGTGATAGCCGGGGGCCCCGCATCGGGAGGAGGCTCCATGTCAGGTAGGAAGGCGTACGCCCGAGCTGCTCCTGACAAAGTCTCGGGGCACGAGCCGGAACCCGAGATCACCTTCCCAACCGGAGCTTCCGAGCGACCGGACCACGACGACGCCCTAGTAATATCAGCCAGGGTTGCCAACGCACAGATGAGGAGGATAATGGTCGACACGGGAAGCTCGGCTGACATACTCTACCTCGACGCCTTTCAGAAGCTGGGCTTGGTCAAGGAGAATCTAAGCCCGATGTGCTCAGCGCTCACCGGTTTCACAGGGGACTCAATATCACCCCTGGGGGCCGTTACTCTGCCCCTGACTTTGGGGACCCCGCCGAAATCAAAGACAGTGATGACCACCTTCCTGGTGGTCGATCTTCCTACCGCCTATAACGCCATACTCGGTCGGCCCACCCTCAACAAGGTCAGAGCGGTCGTCTCGACCTACTACCAGACCATTAAATTCCCAACTCATGCGGGAGTCGGGGAAGCCACGGGGAGCCCCCGGGAGTCCAGACGGTGCTACCTTACCGCCGTATCATTGGGCAGGAGGGCCAGAACCGAGTCACATCTAGAGGATCCGCGAGAAGCAAAAAAATCGACCTCTCATCCCGAGCCGAAAGGGACCACCGTTGATATTCCTTTGCGAGAAGCCCGACCGGACCAAACCATAAGGATCGGATCGGAACTGCCGGAGCAGGAAAGGGGGCGGCTCGTCGGTCTCCTACGGGAGAATACCGACGTCTTCGCTTGGACCCCTTCGGACATGACGGGCGTCGACCCAAAGGTCGCCGAGCACCACCTCAATATCCCACCTGACGCCCGCCCGGTAAAGCAAAAGGCCCGGCGCCAGGCCCCTGACCGACAGCGTGCGATACAAGAGGAGGTAGACCGACTTTTAGCCGCGGGCTTCATAGAAGAGGCCAAGTATCCCCAGTGGCTGTCCAATGTAGTCCTCGTAAAGAAACACAATGGAAGCTGGAGAATGTGTGTTGACTACACCAGCCTCAACGATGCATGCCCCAAAGACTGCTACCCTCTCCCCAAGATCGACCAGCTAGTCGACGCAACAGCCGGTCACTCACAACTCTCTTTCATGGATGCCTACTTAGGGTATAACCAGATCAGGATGGCGCCCGACGACAGAGAACATACGGCCTTCCTCACCGATCAAGGTGTGTACTTCTACAAGGTCATGCCGTTCGGACTAAAGAACGCTGGAGCCACCTACCAGAGAACGGTGAATAAGATGTTCGCACATCAAATCGGGAGGAACATAGAGGTTTACGTGGACGACATGATCGTAAAGAGCCGAGAAGCCGGGACACACCTTGCCGACCTGGCCGAAGCCTTCACCACGCTGCGCAAATTCGGCATGCGGCTCAACCCCGCGAAATGCGCCTTCGGCGTCACCTCCGGGAAGTTCCTGGGATTCATTGTGCACCAGAGAGGGATCGACGCCAACCCAGAGAAGGTTCAAGCAATAATCAATATGAAGTCCCCCCGGACGGTCAAAGACCTACAGCAACTCAACGGAAGACTTGTCGCCCTATCTCGCTTCATCTCCCGATTGGGCGATCGTTGCCTCCCATTCTTCAGGGCGCTCAAAAACCCGAAGAACTTCCAGTGGACGTCAGAGTGCGAGGAGGCTTTCAAACAAATAAAACAGCACCTGGCCGACCTCCCTCGGCTCGCCTCCGTCCCCACAGGCGAGAAGCTGGGCCTCTACTTGGCGGCCTCCCAGCACGCAGTCAGCTCGGTACTGGTCAAGGAGAGCTCCGGCCAACAACTCCCGGTCTACTACGTCAGCCACGTCCTAAGTGGACCCGAGGAGCGTTACCCGCCGATCGAGAAACTCGCGCTCGCCCTAGTACTCTCGGCCCGGAGGTTGCGCCCCTACTTCCAGGCACACCCAGTGGAGGTCATCACCAACCAACCACTTCGGCAGGTCTTAACGAAATTTGATGTTGCAGGACGGCTCCTCAAGTGGGCGGTAGAGCTCGGCGAGCATGACATAAGGTACGCGCCCCGTAACGCCATCAAGGCACAGGCGGTAGCCGACTTCATCGCGGAGCTGACGCAGCTAGAGGACACGGACCTGGAGAAGGTTCCCGAAGCCTGGACCCTACACGTCGACGGCTCGGCCAACTTGAAGGGCGCCGGAGCTGGACTAGTCCTCCTCGCCCCCGATGGACGCTCGTTCGAACGATCCCTTCGCTTCGGGTTCAGAGCCACCAACAACGAGGCCGAGTACGAGGCGCTCTTAGCGGGGCTAAGGCTGGCCCTCGAAATGCAGGTGACCGCGATACATGTCCTCACTGACTCGCAACTCGTGGCCGAGCAGCTCAACGGCGGATACGAGGCTTGGGACGCAACCATGGCGAAATACCTGGCGCGGGTAAGGGACCTGACCACCAAGTTCCGCTATTTTACATTGTCTAACGTTCCGAGGGAAGAGAACGGACGAGCCGACGCGCTCGCTAAGCTAGCGTCAAAGCCAACCCCCGAAGCTTGGCCGGGAGTGGAGGAGCTCCCTGCCCGTGCAGTCGAAATTGCAACCACGGCCCCCGACGGCACTCCAACCACGTGGGTACAAGAGCTGCTGCGCTTCAAGCAGGACGGAACCCTCCCCCCTGATGAGGATGCAGCTCGGCGCCTGCGTCGTACGCACGCGTGGTACACCGTGGAGTGCGGCCACCTTTACAAGCGATCCTTTGCCTATCCCCTCCTGCGATGTTTAGAGCCTGACGAAGCCCAGATGGTTCTGACCGAAACCCACGAGGGGGTATGCGGCGAGCATATCGGCGGACGAACCCTGGCGCACAAGATACTTCGTCAGGGCTATTACTGGCCGACCATGCGCCGAGATGCCAAAGCCTACGTTCAACGGTGCGCGTCATGCCAGCAGCATGCCCGCACGCCCCGACAACCCGCGGTCCCGCTCAGTCCCATCGACTGCACATGGCCGTTTGCGCAGTGGGGCTTGGACCTACTTGGACCCTTCCCGCCAGCCTCCGGACAAAGGAAGTACATAATTGTAGGGGTGGACTATTTCACAAAGTGGGTCGAGGCCGAACCACTGGCGACGATCACGGAACACCAAGTGGAGAAGTTCGTGTGGAAGAACCTGATAACCCGGTTCGGGTTACCCAAGGCCATTATCACGGACAACGGGCCGCAGTTCGCCGGCAAAAGATTCCGCAAGTTCTGTACCGATCAGGGCATCCAGCTGAGGTTCAGCTCGGTTGCCCACCCTCAGACCAACGGGCTAGTCGAGGTGACCAACCGATCCCTCTTGGAGGGACTCAAAAGAAGAGTGTCCTCGGCCCGATCGGCCTGGACAGACGAGCTCCCCAGCGTCCTCTGGTCGATGCGCACCACCCCCAAGGCGGCAACCGGGGAGTCCCCGTACAGCTTGACGTTCGGGACCGAAGCCGTCTTGCCGCCCGAGATAGCTATCTCCACCCTCCGGACGAAAGGCTATGACGAGGAAGTCTCCAACGAGGGACTTCGCGCGAACCTCGACGCGCTCGAGGAGCGACGCGCCGACGCGCACTTGAAAATCCTCTCTTATCAGAGAGCAGTCGCCAGGGTCTACAACAGGAAAGTGCGCCCTCGACCAATAAGATTGGGCGACCTGGTCCTCCGAAAGACCGAAGTCAGTGACCCGGCCCGAGCCAGGGGAAAGCTAGCCCCCAAATGGGAAGGACCTTATCGGGTCGTCGAGGTAGTCCGACCAGGCACTTACCGACTCACGTCGGCAAACGGTCGTCCTTTACCGAGAACCTGGAACGCCGAGAACCTTAAGAAGTACTTCGTATGAAACAAGGAAGCCTTTCCAGAGAAAAAGGACGATGAAGACCAAGGGAGGAAAAAGTTTTTTTTCTATTAAAGATAGCAAAAAAAACATCATACAAGACCCGACTTACAAAAGACCAACCAACTAGCAAAAACAAAAGCGCAGGACCCCTGTCTTTATTGCTGAGGCTCCTCCAGGCGATCGTCGAAAGGGACCTCCTCGGGCATGTCCACCTTCTGATCCTCGGGATGACGAGCGAAAGGGTTCTCCTCCACCTCGAGACCAGGGTGGCGAACGCGGAAGCGGGACGTGGCAACCCGGTACCCATATTCGAAAGATACACGCCCCGTCCGCGTCAGCCCGAGCTCGAAACCCTTTGACTTCTTGTACGCCTCGAGGGCCTCCTTGTCCTTCACAGGGCGAAGCCGGACCTCCTCCGCCAGTGCGTCCGAGGCCGCCTTTGCCTCGGCCTTCGCCTCGGCTAGCGCGTCCGAGGTCACCCTCGCTTCGGCCTTCGCCTCCTCCAGCTGCTTACTAAGGGAGCTTGCCTCCGACTTCGAAAGGCGGAGCTCGGCCCGCTCCACCCTTATTGTCTTTTAGAGGCCTTCATTGGACTTCTTGGAGGCCCCGAGCTCCAACCGGAGGCGCGCCGCCTCCGCCTCCAGGTCCGATGCCCGCTGCTCGGCGGCCGCCACAGCCTCCGGGCCAGCCCCGGCCCGAACCTCTTCGATCTGCCGATGCAGCTCGGCATTGCTGTTGACGAGGCCACCGATAACCCGCCCGGCGTCGCGCACCCTGTCCATCAGGGTCACAGCGTGGTGGAGACCCTGCATTAGGAGGAACAGCTCAGGAAAATCGGCGCCGGACGGGTGAACATGGAAACAGAAGCGTACGTACCCATGTCAGCGACTGGGCGGACTTATTAAGCAACACGTCCGACGGGAGAATGTATAAGTCCCGAGCCATGTCGGGATGGAGCGCCCCTCGGAGAAACGTGGCGGAGGGATCCCCTCCGGCCCACACCCTATCCCCTCGGGTCAAGCCTCCCCAGCGCGCCACCAGAGGCTCGTTGGACTCCCCGGGCGGGACCTCGCTCGCCAGCCGTGTCTGGAACGGCTCCCCATCGCCGGCTGGGAGTCGACACAAGTCGCACACGGAGACCGGGCGGGGACGTTTCCCGGTTGCCCGTCGGCTAGGTCCGACCCCGCCACGACGCGGGCCCGCCTCAGGGACCCTCGACGGGGTCATCTT